TCGACGCGGAAGCTAATTTGATGGATGCAAAATTGCCAAATAGAACGAATACAAAGCAATACTTACTCGCAATCACTCAAATTGACTTCAGAACAATCGCTACAAATCCAATTGTTGCCATCAGATGTTCCACACTTTTTGTGTCCATTTCGGTTGCACTGCGAACACAAACACTTTCCTTTATTTCCAAAACACACACAGCACAACAACTTCATTTTTCAAGTATTATATTTTCTTTATTAAATTCACGTTTGTTGTTGGCTGATCTTTCACCGGCTATGATAGTTCTCTTCGCACGATTTCAAAATATAAACAAAGTGAACTGTCAAAATGTAATAGTTCAAATTTGTGCTTCAAATAGATGATGGCACCACCAAGACACTTTGTAAATGTCAAATTGAGTGATTTGTGTGTATTTTTGATTCCATTGCCGCAACCCGATTTCCGCATCTTACCCGTTCATTTTTAACGAAGTCGTTTATATCGCCAGCAGACCGGACCATTGACACTATTATAACCGGTCGCTCCTGGCCTTGAAATGTCTCTACTGTGCCAATGGTGATCCCATCAAATCCGGAGCTTTGACATTCTTTTCTGATTTCGTCACACTGATCTCTATATGGACATATCACACCTATGTGTTCCAAAAATATCTCTTTCTCCTTCCATTTCGCGTTCAATAGTTTGGTGATATATCCGATTAGGATTTTCACTTCTGTCTTATTGGAAGAGCTAGTGTCATGGTCTGACTGTTCGCACACACCTTGAACACTTTCAAAAATCATTAGAAAGTCGCTATTCAGTAGCAGATCAGTACCTAAGAACCAATTTGTTGCAGCTAATAAATAAATTGCTCATAATTACTTTTCATTCTATAGTGAACAATTTCAAGTTGGTGACAAACCTGCATCGGCTTTGCTTTTAAGAGAATTCTTGTAGAACAAGCGGTTTGGTGGATCAAGAATGGCTGGATAGTTTTCTGTTAGCTGCACAATAAAATGTGTATTCATTTTCTGGTAGCAGGTTTGGCCCATTAACTTTTCCATATATGATGTATTATAACCCAGCTCTTTGGCATAATCAGACTTAGCTACCGCATTCAATTGTCTGGGATCGCCTGCTAACACTATGCTGCACTTAATATCGCCATGTTCACTGCATAAACCTGGAAATTGATGAAAATTGTTGTATGAAAAATTTGACTCCTGAAATTTTTTTTTAGATTCTATGTCAAATACAAAAAATGAACAAGGCAAACACAAACCTACGATTGGAATCAAGGAAACTGGTTTTCGAATAAAACCACCTTCGTCGATAAGGACGTGTGAGAAATGGCTGGAGTCGAAAGAAGCTCGCCGATTCTGGCCCACAACAGTAAAACTTGAAAATGTTCCTAAAAAAGTCAATAGATGGCGCTTTTAGAAAAAAAATTACTTTCCAACGGAAAAACATCCAACCTGTCAATAAGTAAACAAGTAAACACATTTGCTTTTATTGTGCAAATCGCACAAGAATTCGTTCATTTTTTTTATTTATCAAAAGTAAAAAAAAACATTGGGAAACAACCCCATAACACTTAAGATTTATATTGTTTGTGACTTACGTCTAAACATTTTTGTCATCAAAAAAAGATTCCATTTGTTTGTTACATTTCATGTCATAGTGAAAAGATTTTTTTTTTTCAACCCAATGATTTTGAATGGTTTTGTTTGGAAAATGTTTCGATCATCTATCAAAAAAAATAAAGATGGTTATGACTTTTTCGTTTGGCTCGGGTAAATAAATATGTTGAATGGAATATATGAATTTTTGTATTCAAAATAATAATGTATATGAATGAAAATGGCCAGTCAAACAAGCGGGACCAAAGAGAAAAAATAATTATAACTTGTTCTTATTTTATGAACGATTGGTCAAAATGAAATTGTTCGTTAAGTCTTAAATGTCGATTTGCGACTTTGTCGGAAAATTGCCGCTTTCATGAGATCATATTCAAAAATATCTTTTGTATGTTATTAAACCCTCAAGGAACAATTTGGGCAAACCCAATCGCCACTTGGTGGCAAAACCAATCGCATGCAGTCCATGTGAAACCACTTTATGGTGCACGTTTCATTTTCACAAAATATCATTTGACCAAAGGATGCACGTCTGCAGACACACCATGCGTGTGTTGATGGTGGAGCGACGTCAACAGTCTTGGAACGTGTTGATCGATGGGCTGGTGTTGGACATGTGTTTCGGATCACCGGGCATGTGTTTCGTCTTTTCTGGATTTTCTTCGAGAGAATCGGCATTTCTAGTGTAATTCCAATTATTTTAAGTGCACGAGTCAGAGCACGAGTAATTGCAGAAAAAAGGACGATTGATTGTAAATAAATAATTTCATTGACAGACAATAATTGTTCCTAAAAAACAATAAAATTGGATATCAAATATCATATTTCAAAGCAGAAACATAAAATAAAAAAACCACAGAGAAATGTGACTGTCTAAGTAAGTTTGCAGTAATGTAATGAAAACGGAAAGAAACTCAGTTCTCAAAAGTGAATTTATTTTCGGAAAATGGAGCACTTGGTTTGAATCAAATGAATAATATGAGTAGAAAGTCATTTGAATACAATTTTACACGAGGAATGAAAATCAAATGCCCTTCAATTCACGACAGAAACACAAAATACCTCGCGTTGTGGCTTGTGGATTATCGAGAAAAGCGAATCGATGAGAACGACAGATTGCAGCCATTTCTTCTGCACGTTTTAGCATCAGTCGGGTTCTTGGAACCATAATGTTTTTGTTTTGGTTGGGTATCAAATGACCTATGAAAGAGAATGAATAAACAATTGCAATTAATGGCATGTTGAATCAACTATGCGACAACATATTATGGGTTCACTTCATTTGTAGTCCACAACACATTCAAAATTCGCTGTTTTCATGGCTTGATGCATTTTTTATCGACGCAAATGAATTGCGTTCGTGAAATCATGTTTATGGTTCCGAAAAAAAACATACAAACAACGAATACGTTTGTCTGAAAGAAAAACATTGGTTCTCATTCCAAAACAGAGATTGTTGCACACAAAATGGATTTTTGTTACACTGTCGTCGTTACAAGTACAGGCGATGAAAAAAAATGCAATTCTATTAAATGGCTTACTTATACTTCTGAGTCATTTTTTCGGTGAGATCGTTTAATTAGCAGATGCCAAGCAAATTGGAGATAAAGAGAGGGAAAGACACGCACACAAAAGAGTCAATGCAAAGATGAGAGACTGAAAAAATGCGATCTTTACATTCTTGTTTGAGAAAAGTAAACAAAACAACAGCAACAAAAACACAAAACATATTCGAAAACAAAACTTCTGTTTCAAGTCCGTTTGCTACACGAATTGTGAATCATAACTCTACAATTACAATTGAAATGTCTGGCATCCAATATTGTAATTGTTGTCAACGTATTTTTTCAAACATAGAAAAAAACACAAGAAGGAAATTAACTGTTGTGTGTTGTGTGCATTTTGCATGAAAACAGGCACTATTCATTTTTATATAATTTCACAACAATTGAACGACGCAATAGAATAAAACTGCAGTAATGTAGCGAGTGTAAAAAAAAATAACAAGAATAATTCACACTATGTTGAAATGAGAACTCACAATTTTGCTTGCTTGCTGAATCTTTTCAAATTATCTTATGAATTTTTTTCAAGAAACTTTTTTTCTCAAGAAACTTTTTTTCTCAAGAAACTTTTTTTCTCAAGAAACTTAACAGAATTTTATAAACAGTACATTTTGCGCAAAAGGATCAAGACAAACTGACTTCGAATTTGATCAACGCTCTTAAAAACACACACACTCACTCACTCTCTCTCCCTTTCGCTTATGTTACACAGCGAACCGCATGCATTACGTTTCTGCGGCAAGCTTGTGTACACAAGCCTGTATATACAATACAGATACATTTTTTGGACCCTGTGTATCTACAGACGCTCGTATAACGAGCTTGCCGTATAAATGGAATGCGTGCGACTCTCAGGAAACTGAGATCGTGTGTATGCATGCGTATACAAACGAATTGTGTGCAAAGAAGGAACTTAGTGTTTTTATGGCAACGACAAAACGGTAAAATTATCAAACACTTTGTCGCCCACCGCACAAAATAAACTTGACACAAATTTGAATGACAAAAAATCAGTATTCGATTTAAAATAAGAGGAGGTTTCCTTTCACTTACCATTAAGGTTTATATTGTGCGGCAAACATGTTTGAATTTATATGAAAAAAAACTTAATGAATATACGTGTGAACTTTGTTTTGGTCGGTTTCAAATGGTTTAAAAAACATTCTGCACATCCCAAACACTGTAATTCAATATGAAATATCTGAATAATGAATCATTCACGTCTAAATAAAACAGTCAATCAATGGATGCATCGTTAATTACCTAATAAATTCGCTGTAGCCAATGTTTCTTTCGGCGAAACCATTGAATTGGTCCCCCGGCTTTTGCTCGATGAAATCGATACTTCGTTCGCCTTTGCACTCGGGCACGCTATGGTGGATGGTCAATAATAGGTGAATCGAGCATTTTTGGAACTATAGGCGGAAAAATAACTGACACCTCATCGAAAAACTGGTCAAATGACCACTTATTTGTGCAACGAAGCAAACCGGCTAAAAACGGCGTGATGGCCTCTTTAAATGGACTGTCGACATTTGGCAATTTGTTGGACCATTCGATTTGGCCATCGATGTCTTTTGCAGATATGAACCCGTGAGCATAAAAACGACTTATTAAACAATCTCCGAACAAAACGTTACAAGAAAAAACTACCGAACAAAGCGTACCACAGCGGTAATGTGTAGCACAGCGGAGTTTCGTTTTGAACGGTACCGTCCTGCTGTGTTACGTTTTTAACGTGTGTTTTGTTTGGTAGTTTTTTCTTGTATCGTTTTGTTCGGCGATTGTTTAATAAGTCGTTTTTATGCTCACGGGTTCATATATCGTCGATATTTTTCTGTGATATCATGGTATACATGTTTTGTGGGTCCTGTCGACCTTTCTTTGGTTCGAATGGAAGTTCTCCAGTTATAGCTTCATAGATTGTTACACCGATTGACCACAATTCGTGGCCATCGGTGAAACGTTGCTCTGGTAATATATTCAAATTGTGTGCATAATACTTTCCGAATATGTCAGGATGTAGATACTCGAAAGTACCATATAATGACCCATAAGTTTCATCTGGTTTCAAGAAGCGCGCTGCGCCAAAGTCAGTCAATTTGTAAATTGATTGACCATCTTCTTGGCGAAAAAGCAAAATGTTTCCAGGCTTTATGTCTCGATGGATCACATTTTTGCTGCGTAAACGCGCCATTGCACCAACGATATTTTGATCGAGACGCATAACTTCGGAAATGGCCAGACCATTTGGCTTGTTGTCAATTGCATCTTGCAAGTTTCCTTCACAATTATCCATTATGATGGCCTTTTTGTTTGTTCCATCCACTTTCTCAAAACCAAAGAATTTCACCACGTTTTCATGATTTAAAATTGCCATTGTCGATGCTTCTCTCTCAATAAATACAACCAATGAAAAAATCTGGAATGTTTTGACTGCCACTTTAGATTGATTTTCAAATCCGATTCCCTATAAAAATTGAATGAATTTTGTGATGCAAAGGGCAACAACACGTTATATTTTTGAATAGAAAAATTATTAGGTTTCAATTGACACAGAGTTTAGTAGGAATTTTCACAGTAATTGCTAAAAAAGCAAGTATGAAGTTCATACCCGACAAGAAATTTGCGAATAATCGCATTGCGGATAGTTGGCGAGTACCCTGCGAATACTCTGAAATGTCATGCGCAGCCAACTTCAGGTTGGAACTGTACTGTTGTTCGCAGCGCGAATAGTCGCAGGGTATTCAGCGATAACATTTTGCGGCAACTTTTATTGTGGATTCCTATTCGCATTGCGAGTATCCGCGGATATGCGACGGAATGTCGGCGTACACCTATTTTACCGCAAATTTCTCGTCGGGATACTATGAACTTATCACATTCTCATAATATCATAAATCATATTACTTTTTCGCACGCCCATGTCGTGAGTAAAAGTATTGTAATCACTTCAAAACCTAGGTGCCCCGAAAAACCATTTTTCTATCCATTTTCGACACCAAAAAGCACGATACAATGATTATTTTGCTTTGTTAATGTGGGTGTGTCGTACCCTGTACGCTGTGCGCTGTACGCTGTACGTCAGCCATGTCGCAAAGATGTGCAGAGGTCGTGGGATCTCGCTTACAACAATGGAATTTGGTTGCAGATGATTTCTTAGTCACTGCAGCTCGTAAACGCGGTAATACGGCTGAATTTGACAATTGCTTTGCTATGCATGAAGAATCAAAAATGATATATTGCAACGACATCGAATCATTGTTCAATTGCTTTGATATTACACATGATGTGACAGAGTGGAGACTCTTCATTGATGGTTCAACTGCCAGCTTAAAAGCCGTTTTACTTCACAATGGAAATGTCTATCCATCCATTCCAATTGCCTACGGTAGATATCAAAAAGAGGATTACGACACTATTAAATTGATGCTTCATCTCATTGAATACGATACGTATAAATGGCAAGTATGCTCCGATCTCAAAATGGTTGCGATTCTCTGTGGGATTAGGCAAGCATACTCAAAGCATCAGTGTTTATTGTGCAAGTGGGAAGGCCGCGCTGACGATTTTCACTATGGTTTTGAATGGGAAGCTCGAGATAACCGCAAAATCGGCGAATATAGCATTGTTTTCGAGCCATTGATTGATTTTGAATTAGTTATATTGCCACCCTTGCACATAAAATTGGGATTGATCAAAAACTTTCTCAAAGCATTGTACCGCATAAACCCAGACACATTGACATTTTTGATCGGATATTTCAAGAATCAATTGACCCCTGCAAAAGTGGAAGGATGTGGTCTAAACGGGAAACAAACTAATAAGTTATTTGGAAGCGCCGAATTTCTGAACATGCTCTCTCCACTCGAGAAACGAGCATTTTTGGGAATACGCGATGTTTGTGAAAATTTTCTGGGCAACACACGAGCTGAGAACTATGAAGAAATCGTGGATGACATGTTAACTGCATTCCAGGAAATGGGTGTGCATATGTCCCTAAAAATACATTTTTTGCACAACCATTTGGACTTCTTCCCTCCCAACTGCGGCCAATGTAGCGACGAACAAGGCGAGCGTTTCCACCAGGATATTTCAACAATTGAAGAACGCTTCAAAGGGAAAGATGGGACGCATATGTTGGGCGAATACTGTTGGTCAATCTGCCGTTCAACAGACCCCGATCTACATAAGCGCAAAACTCGACGACCAAGTTTTTACACTCCCAAAAAGCCTTAATTCAAAGTAGAATTATAATTTCAATCGTTTTCTATCATTTTCAACAGATTTGAGTTGAGAAATTTCGATTAAAATGCAAAAAAAGTCAATTTTTCCATATAAAATGAGCAAAAATCCAAAATTTTCCAAAAAAATGAGATTTTTCTTCCCGATATAGGTTCAATTCAATGTATTATTGTAGTTTCAATCGTTTTCTATCCTTTTCAATAGATAAGAGCGAAGAAACTTCGATTAAAATGCAAAAAAAGTCAATTTTTCCATATAAAATGAGCAAAAATCCAATATTTTCCAAAAAAAAATGAGATTTTTTTTCCCGATATAGGTTTATTTCAAAGTAGAATTATAATTTCAATCGTTTTCTATCCTTTTCAATAGATAAGAGCGAAGAAATTTCGATTAAAATGCAAAAAAAGTCAATTTTTCCATAAAAATGAGCAAAAATCCAAAATTTTCCAAAAAAAATCGATTTTTCTTTCCCCAATTCAATGTATTATTGTAGTTTCAATCGTTTTCAATCATTTTCAATAAACACCAGCCAAGAAATGAGCAAAAAATGATGTTTTGAGTATAAACAAAAATCGCTGATTTTTCAGGTTTCCAAAAGAACTACAGAAATCGATAAAAAAAAATCTAGACGTGGTTTCGAAGAAACTAATGATGCAAAAGTGCTTGGTTTTTGGTCCTCTAAAACAAGCAATTGGAGTTTCTCATGTGCAGAAAAAAAAGTTGAAATTTGTTACACGGTGATACAGATCTAGAATCAATCACAAATCAAATTGTTGGAACAGAATTCTTAAATGATTTGACAATCGATATGTTCATTATAAATTTGGTGAACGCAAACAGAACCATACCATTCAATATGCATCCAGTCTGCTATGGACAAAAACAAGAGCGATACAAATGACTTCTAGCCGAACGAGACGATCTGCAAATAACATATCAGCGACCGGGCCAGCTTTCTTGGCCATTACACCATAGTTCACTATACAGTCTACACGGGGAGGGCAATCATGGCAAAAGATTGGACGTATATCAACGAAACATCCTCACTCGCCTGTACCCCGGAGCACAGTATCAATTCATCGAACCGGCAACGTTGCAACCAGATGGATGTTCCTGTGGCATTTTGTTTGTGGCAAGTGTTTGGATACTTGTTTTCAAGTGTTGCATCGCAATAATGACCAATTGATTTCGATTTGGTAACTTTTGTCTAATTTCATCAAAAAAGAAACAAAAAAAATCAGTTCATTCAATTTGCTTATTAAACATTTTGTCGAGATAGCTTATTATTTCCGTCCACATTTTTTGATTTAATTAAAATCAACGTTCATTCTCCAAATATTTGACTGATTTGCAGTTCTTCGATTAAGTTCAGTTTTTTTCAATACTTGATTATTTTGCATTTTTGAAAGAGAGTAGAATAAAGTTTTCAGACGACAATAAAGACAATCAGACGTTTCATTTCATTTGAATACCCAACATCAAGATTCTCGGAATCATAATACAATTTTCCATAGAATACATGAACGTACTGTTGTTTTTTTTCTGAAAATTCTTATAAATTTCCTAGGCAAAATTTGAATAAAAGCTGAACGCTATGAAAACGGTGCGGAAAAGTTCGTCTTACGGAGGTAAGACTATTTATTTCTTATTGTTGACACTTGCCACTTTGGAACACACTCAATTTTTAGCTAAAGTGTGTATTTCTTCACTAATTTTCTGGTTACCACCGGAATTATTCCGATAACTATCACTTTTCCTTGAGTCATTTATAAATTCCGTTGGTATCCAGAAAATTAGTGGAATCTCTCTCCTTCACTCCAATATAGTCTTACGTACAAAAAAAATCCGCACGATTTTGGTGGAATGTCTTAGAATTCCAGCCTTGCCTTCTTTCGGTAGTTTAACCCTCTAATGCATTAATTTTTCCCAGGGCTGGGAGTACTGGTATTTGGTTGATTTTTGGCCATAAACAATTAAAATAAAATTCATAATCCTGGATTCCTCTTGGTTTGCGATTGACATAAATCAGAGAACAATCAAATCCATTGTTTAAAAGTGTCAAAAATGTGTCTAATTTCGAGTTCGAATAATTTATTTTGTCAAATTTTTGTTTTTGCACACATTCTTGTTTATAACTTTACAATCACACTACATAGGCAATTATTGCCAAAGACAAAAATAAAGGGAAATCATTGACGAATAAAAATTTACATTGAAGCAATGTGATCCGATGTACGGTTTACGTTCTACAGGCGTTCAAATGTTGCCCGTCTAGAGGCGGTTGTATGCATTGGAGGGTTAAGACCGCATTAGAAAATAAATATTTTGTTTTTCGTGAATTGAATAAGTGCGTTTGCAAAATGAGCGCGTTTACGCCTGTAATCACGATTTGAACGAATTTCATTTTGCAAATGATGTTATGGTTAGTGTAATGCGAGTTTCTTACCATCCCAAAAGAGCCGCTATTAATCGATGTCAAAAAAAATGGCTACGATTCGCGTAGCATTAACTCTATATGCTATAACTTTCTCAATTTACGTTTCAATGCTTACTCTTACGATCGGCTCTTTCATGATTTTTCGTGCACTGTTTTGCTCTGCTTGCCGGTTCCTATCGAAAAGACTTTGGCATTGAGCGTATCGACTATACTTTTGACGTTTTACAATTGAGAAGTTGGTAGAAGTTTTGTTGAATAGGCCTGAACGGGCATGAATTCGCTTCATTACGTTTCATATGAATTTCTTTGCTTAGAACTAGACAATAATTTTTCGCATTCACTATTGTAAAAATTTATTCAAAATAAGGAAAAAATATCGCGTCACGACTTTTACACGGCAAATTTCTTAAAAGATTTGGAACAAAATTCAAAAGTCGTGACGCGATATTTTTCCTTATTGTGGATAAATTTTCACAATAGTGAATGCGAAAAACACTTCTGAACTTCGTATCCAGAGGTAATACAGCGTCAAAGCGTCACTCAAAATGATATCAGTCATTTTGAGTGGTAAATCCACGCACAGGAGCGTCACTCCATTTTAACCTCGTCTAAAGGTTTTTCATCTGATCATTTTTAGACAGAGATTAGCCAATCAAAATGTCCGAAATGTTCTCGGAAATTTGTGCCTAGAACGTCAA